CCAGTGAAGCCATCTGGACCAGGATTATTTTTTTAAATAGTTTTTTATGAGGTGTTCAGTTTTTTCCTTTGTTATGGGTCTGTTCAAAATTTCTACCTCAGTCTGTATTACTTTAGGTAGGCAGTGTGTTTCTAGAAATCTGTCCATTTCTTCTAGGCTTTCAGGTTTTTTGGAGGACAGTTCTTCATAGTATCCTGATAATTATCCTTTTTATTTTGGTTGTTTCTGTTGTAACATCATCCATTTTATTTCTTATTTATGTTATTAATGTATTGCTTATGCTCACTATCAGAAATTACATCAATTCCCTTTTTTGTTTTGTTTTGTTTTATTCAGAGACACTTTTTCAGAAATCTTGGGTCTATTCTGGCCTATGCCTTCTTGGGGACTGCTGTTTCCTGCTTCATTATCGGGTAAGTGACTGTGGTCCACAGAGCTCAGTATTTTGATGTTTGTGATGATGACAGTTAAGATCTGAAGCTGTACTCTCCAATATTTAGCTACTAGACATGTGGCTGTTTAAATTAAAATTAAATAGAACTGCACCCAATGTCCAGATCTTGGTTTATAATACAATTCTCCAGGGAAAAAAAAAGAACCTGAAACTCTTGCAGAAATGGCTGGTAAGTCTGGAACATCTTACAGTGCCAGAAGTTAAGGAAATGTTCAAACAAAGAAACAAACAAACAAAAAAGTATGGGGGCATGTCAGAGCAGACACAAGACCCAACTTGAAAGAGCCCCTAACGGCTAAAGCTGCAATAGCTTAAACAACAATATAAATAACATTTTATTGGATTATAGCCCAAAGTTTAAAATAAGTATGCTAAGTCCATAGTGATATAAATAATGATTGAATGGATAAATAAATGAGGAAGAAGTGACAAATATCTAGTTATAAGAACTCGAAATAATTTATGTACATAAAACCTATCCCTCAAAGGAGGTAGGGCTTAGACTCTTTTGAGTGTGGCCTGTACTAAGTGACTACCAAAGAGTTCAGTCTGGAAAGGAGGAAAACGAATAGTTTAACAGTGGAGAAACCTGACAAACACTGTCTGAGCCGAGTGATTAAGGTTAGCATCAGTAGTGACAGATCATGTTGACAAGATATGCATTTGATATGATGTGAGGAGAATGCCACTTTACCTCTGTGGTCTTTCTCCTCAAAACACATTACTTTAGTCTAATAATCCCCTCTGGTAGCATAGTGCCTAAGGCACTTGACTGCTCACCAGAAGGCTGGCGGTTCAAACACACCAGCCACTCCTCGGAAGGAAGGTTGGGCAATCCTCTTCGTAGTGATACCGCCTCGGAAACCCAAGGAGGGGTCGCTATGAGTCGGGGCCGACTCGACGGCAAACAACAACAACAACAACAATAATCACAAAAAAAATCAGACAAATCCCAGTAGAAGGGCATCCTACAATATACCTGATCATTCCTCTACAAAACTATCAAGGTCATCAAAACCAAAGAAAGTGCAAAAAAACAAGGGCATTTGGATGCAACCAGCCCTAGGATACAATGGCCCTCAAGACCAGAAGAACTAGATGGTGCCTGGCTACCAATGCCAACCACTCAGGAAAGAATCAAATTTGGAGATCCTGGATAGAGTGGGAGGGAAAACGTGGAATAAAATCCAAAAACTCAATAATGACCAGAATTACTGGTCGGATGGAGTCTGGTGAGACCCCCAATACTATGGTCCTGGGATACATTCTGGGCCTGGAATAAAGCTCACTCCCAGGGGCTGGCTCTCAGTTCAATAGTAAACAAGATGTACATGCAGACCACTAAACCCAGGGTGATGCATCCACATACTCTATGGAAATGCATCCCTTGGAGCAATCCACCACAGAGCACCAGAGGGGGAACATGCAGGCCACACAGGAGTGTATAACTATGAGGGGCATGAGGGAGGGTTACTGGGCAGGGAAGGGAGGAGACTGGGTTAGGGTTGGGCATGGTAAATGGGGAGTGAAACTAAATGGACAAATAATGTTGAATGTAAAACAAACTCTTAAAATAAAAAAAAAATATTTTAAAAAAGGCATTAAGTAAAAACTAATGAAATCTGAATAAAGTAAAGACTTCAGTTCGTTTTAAAAATTAGCTAGAAAGTCAAAAATAAAGGCAAGGGCCAGGGCTTTTTCTGGCATCAAAAACAAAGGGGCTAGGACTTAATCCTTTAAGAGATGACAGTGCATTGAAGAGTGACAGGTTTAGATATCTGGCATTGGGGATAATGGGAAGCAAGATGGGGGACAAAAGGCTGTCAGAAGGTCTAAGAGTGCAGTGGAAAGAAATGAAGAGGAAGGTCTAGTTTCAGGAACTATCTAAAAGGTAGATGAAAGAAGCCTTTGATAAGCAACATGGGCTAATGCAATCTGTATCATAGAGTTACTGGGAATTTAAATGATGTGCTTTTGAGTTTATTCTGACTCATAATGACCCTATATGACAAAGTAGAACTGTCCCATAGGGTTTCCTAGACTGTAAATCTTCACGGAGGCAGACTGCCACATCTTTCTCCTGCAGAGTGGCTCTTGGTTAGCAGCCAAGTGCTTAACCATTGCGCCACCAGGAATCCTTGAATCCTTGTGAATTTTAAAAGGAATGTTTAAGTGCTGGAACAGTGCCCAGCATACAGTAGGCAACCTTTAAGTTATAGCTACCTGTTCTCAAAAGGGGGAGTTCTGGTGGCGTAGTACCTAAGGCATTTGACTGCTAACCACAAGGCTGGTGGTTCAAACCTACCAGACACTCCTGGGAACGAAAGTTGGGCAATCTACTTCTGTAGTGATGCCGCCTCAGAAACCCAAGGAGGGGTTGCTATGAGTCAGATCCGACTCAACAGCAGGGAGTTAGATTCTCAAAAGGATTCAATTCTGCAAGTAGTTCTTGAGCTCAGTCTTTAAGTCAGTCAAAGGTGAATGATGACACAGTCTTTGACATCAAGCATCTTATTATTAGAGGACTGGCTATAAAGGAGCTCTGGTAGTGTAGTGGGTAAGGCATTTGGCTGCTAACCAGAAGGTCAGCAGTTTAAACCCACCAGCTGCTCCATGGGAGGATGATGAGGCAATCTACTTCTGCAAAGATTTATAGCCTTGGAAACTCAATGGGGGTCACTATGAGTTGGAATTGACTCAGTGGCAGAGAGTTTCTTTCTTTCTTTTTGGCTCTGTGGTACAATGAACCATTGCCATGTTTGTTTTTGCTCCCCTAACCCCTGCTGCTGCTGTCAGCCCCACCCAACACACATCCTTAGTACGTGTACTAACACTCCTCACTCCTCCCAGTTTGTAAGCTGTCCTGTAGAAATGTGCTCAAGCTACGCTGAAATATTTAGCTTGGTGGTCCCTCTTGGACTGCAACATAAGGAGAGCTGCTGTTGAACTGATTAACCCGTCCAAAGAGTCTTAATAGCTACTGATGTTTTAATAGGATGTTTAAAGAGATTTGAAGAGTTTTTTCGAAACTGTTCTTTGCAGAGGAGGCTGTGATAGGTCAATCACTAGGATCTTTATGATGACTCAATCTTTCTTTCTCTCCAGCTTCATCCAGTTCACTCATTTCTGTGACTTTAAATACACTATCTTAGAATCCTGTGAATTTCATGGCAATTTATTAAGCATTATGCAGGTTTTTTTTTTTTTCTTTTTCTTACCTAATTTCTTAAGATGCCTTAAATTTGTTGCTAATTGATGACCATGCTTTATAGCTGCAATAGTTGTTGAAAGGGTATCTGGGTGGCGTAAACAGTTAAGTGTTTGGCTACTAACAAAAAGACTGGTGGTTTGAATCCACCCAGTGGTGCCTTGGAAGAAAAGCCTGGTGATCTACTTCCAAAATATCCCAGCCACTGAAAACCCTGTGGAGTGCAGTTCTACTCTGACACACATGGGGTCACCATAAGTCTGAATCGATGTCAACTGGTGTTACAGTTGTCAAACACCACACTTTATAGCTGCTACAGTTGTTAGTGAACACAGCTTTAAAAACTGAAATGTTCAGCTGTTTTACAAGATGATATTAACTGCAAATCATTACATGGTGCCAAAGTCCTGTTTGCCCGTTGTTATGGAATGAATTGTGTCCCAAAAAATATCTGTTGTAAATCCTAACCTTTATGCCTACGATTATAATCCCATTTGGGAATGGGCTGACTTTGTTATGTTAAGGAGGCAGGATGAGTGTAGGGTATATTTGAGTCAGTCTCATTTGAGATATAAAGGAGACTAAACAAGCAAGTGAAAAACAGAGAAGGGGGAAGAGATGCCAAAGCACATGAAGAATTCCCAGGAGTAGAAGCTCAGAAGAGACAAAGACCTTCCTCCAGAGCCAACACAGAGAGAAAGCCTTCCCCTAGAACCGGCACCTAGAATTCGAACTTCTAGCTTCGTAACTGTGAAAAAATAAATGTGTTTGTTAAAGCCATCCACTTGTGATATGTCTGTTACAGCAGCAGTAGAAAACTAAGACACCCATGTTTCTGGTAAGTGTCTAACTATAGAAGCTGCCTGACGTTTTTGCAAATCTCCCTTGAAGTATTCTAGTACCACTTTGCTTATGTATTTGCTAGATTACTGGATTTTATTTTCTCTTTTCACTGTGTTCTTTAGGGAAGCTACACTATTGACTTAGTGTGCTTTCCCTTCTTACAGAAATCTCATGTATGGTGTAGTGAAGCTCATGAAGATTGTGGGACAGCTCTCAGATAAATTCTATTACACGGATTGTCTCTTTTTTGGAGCAATTATCTCTGCCACTGACCCAGGTATTTGCATATTTAATTTTATCATTATGATATTCCATTACAGTCATGTACCACATAACATCCATTTGAGCAGTGTCCAACCACATGTACATCCATGGTTCTAACCCCCATAAAGGCTATTATATTAAAAGTTCCAAGTATATACGATGGTTTGCAATAAAGAATAGGTGTTGATTTGTGATATGCATAAAAACATTATTACTGTATTATTATGTTAATGATATTTTAGCATATTTGGAAGTGTTTCTTTAATGTTCTTTATGCATAGGCATGTATACTATAGACTAAGACAAATATTTGACTGACATTACATAAAAACCATACATAACTGTTCTAACTTAAAGACAGATTTGGGAACTGACCTCATTTTTAATGTGGGGACTGCGTGCATATAATATTGTGTTCACATAATGTCCTATCTCACAGAACATATCATGGGTGTTAAATGAGACATGACTCTATTTACATCTTAAAAAGTTAATAATTATTAACTTATTTTTCAAGGTTTAAATAATATATTGCACACTAGACAATAAAAACCACATTGCCACAAATCTTTAGCTTCAGGAGGCATCTATACTAGCTCAGAGCCCAAATCACCTAAGGATTTTGTTAAAATTGCAGATTCTAATTCTGAAATTGTGGGTGAGGCTTGAGGTTGTATGTTTGTTTCTAAGCATTTCCCAGGTGATACTGGATGCTGTGGGGAGCTCTGGTAGCGTAGTGCCTAAGGCACTTGACTACTAACCAGAAGGCTGGTGGTTCAAACCCACCAGCCGAAGGTTGGGCAATCTACTTCCATAGTGATACTGCCTCAGGAACCCAAAGGGGTCGCTATGAGTCAGGTCCAACTCGACGGCACATAACAACAACAACTGGATGCTGCTGGTCCAGGAACCACACTTTTAAAAGAATAATCATTAACTTTTGTGGGAGTCTGTAGTATTAACATGGAATGGTGGAGAAAACAACTATTAAGTAGGTATAACAGACTTGGATGGCTTTTCTGGGAAGGGCATGCATTTCCCTTTTGTCTTTCATTTCAAAATGACTAATTTGGTAATGGGAGCTCTGGTGGCGTAGTGCCTAAGGCATTTGACCACTAACCAGAAGGCTGGTGGTTCAAACCCAACAGCCACTCTTTGGAAGGAAGGTTGGGCAATCTACTTCCATAGTAATACCGCCTCAGAAACCCAAGGAGGGGTCGCTATGAGTCAGGTCCGACTTGACGGCAGTGAGTAATTTCGTAATAATTTCTACACTTACACTGTTTTCTTTCTCAGTGTTGTGCTTTTGCCTTCTTTTAGGAAACATATAATTTTATTTAAATACTACCTTTTCTTAGTGGAAACACGCATGGGCACCTGTAGTGAATGTAACTTAATTTGTAAACTCCTTTTGTGCAGTGTTCCTGTATAAATGTACACTGATGATGTTTCCTACCTATAAATCTCTTACCCGGTATTTTTCAAGTGTAAGTTGAACCAGTAGTTAAAAGTGTAATTATTACATGCCCATCCTCCCCTGAAGTACAAAAATCTAGCAACTACAACAACAACAAAAAAGCTCTCCTCTCCAAGTTGGAACCTATAATTGGAACTCATAATCAAATCAGTTCACATAAATAGCATTTACAACTATTCTTTGCTGTAATGTCAACAACTGAGAGTTCATCTTTGGGAAAGAATTATGGGCAAAGGGTTGGCCCTGTCCTAACAGTGGAGGTTGAAAAGTTTTCTCAATGTCTACAATACCTTGTAACATTTTGCACAGAAATGACATTAAAGGAAACATTCTTCCACCTGACCATGCCTCCTGAGGGTCTTCTGGGTTGGTATAATCCAAAAGATCCTTTTGTGATGATGTTCAGCAATTGCCCAGTCCATTATGATAGCCAGTAGCCACATGTGGCTTTTGAGCACTCCTGTGAAACCAAAGAACTGAATTTAAAATTTTATTTAATTTTAAGTAATTTAAATTTAAATAGCCATATATGGCTACTGGCTACCACATTGGACAACACTGCTCTAGATAGTTGTGGGTTCTGAAGACTCTCGTTCCAACAAACATTGACTTCTCTTACCCCCATACTTTATTACAAGCACTCTATAAGTAAAGTGGTATTGAAGACTTGACTAGTTGAGGCACTTTTGTTTGTGAAAAGAATGTGAGCTGTGGAATCACAGGCCTAGCTTTGATTCCTAGCCCTGCCAGTCACTGACTCGGTGGCCTGGACACATTTTATCTCTTCCAGGTCAGTTTCCTCATCTATAAAGTAGGAATAATGATGCCTATTAACATTATTGTGAAGATTAAATGAAGCAACATATGTGAAGCATTAAGCATAGACTCTGTTAATTATGTTGATCTCTATCTCCTGACCCAGGCAGAGATTTCTGTGTTGTCTTCATTTATTTTTTTAATTTTAAAATAATAGGTCATCACCTAACTCAAGCATGTTTCTAAAGAGCATGCAACTGAAGCTTTATTATTTAAATACTGTGGTGTCCATGACTATCTCCAAATGTGTGTTTATTGAAAAATAGATCTTTTCGTAAGTCTGAGAAATATGTTTAGTCTCTCTGGAAATATATTACTAACTAGTTTATTACTTTCTTACTGACATCTTACCACTACCTCTGACTAGCAAAGTGAGGTTGATTTAATGTAGAAATTACTGATACTGTTTTCTGAGCTATTAGTATTGCTTCATTTAATTGGATAGACCGAAAAACCAGTGTCATCAAGTAAATTCCGACTCATAGCCGCCCTACAGGACAGAGTAGAACTGCTCCCCAGGGTCTCCAAGGCTGTAAATCTTTATGGAACCAGACTACCACATCTTTCTCACGCAGAGCAGCTGGTAGGTTCAAACCACCGACCTTGCAGTTAGCAGCTGAGCACTTTAACCAGGGAGCACCACCAGGGCTCCATTTAATTGGAAAGAGAGTCTTATTTCTCTAGAATATTTTTGAATTGTTTACTTTAATGTGTCTGTGCTATGGTGGAAAATAACGGAAGGCATTATTACCATGATGTACCATCTTTATTTGGCCCATGAGCATTGGCACAGTAAGGGTTTTATATAAATGAAACTTATAGGAAATAGAAAATTCAAACTTATTAAACATCAGGACATTAACTACTTTTGTAATGTAAATCTTTTTGAAATGTAGAATGTTTTTATAAATTAAAAGTGATTTTAACTGCCTCCTAAAAATCTGTTGTTTGAAATATTGGGTCATAAAAGAGAAACTAAAGTGCAGACTTAGAGGGGAACCATAAAACCAAATTGACTTTCTGTATCTGGGGCATCAAATAGAAATTCAGATTTTGAGATACAGAGTGGTAGTGACTGATTTGAAAGAGTAAGGTCCTAGTCCTTCATTATACTATACTTGGTTCAAGACACTGGTCTTTAGCCTTCCCTTCAAAGGTAACACCATATGTGTGGGGTAGTATAGGCTGCTCTGTTACTGGGAGCCATTTGCATTCTGTGGTTATGTGTCATGGGGGCCATGTGCCATCTTTGTGGACTGTAACTTTGGATGGTTCCAGAATTGAGGAAAGAAAATACATTTCTCACCCATAGTGCCTTTTTAGGCAGCTACCAGGGAAAATGAATGCTGTTCCTTTTTGTGAACTGTTATGAAGTGATTCCCCTTGAGTTGATCAGGCCTACTCACAAATTTCAAAATCTGTGATCTGTGCAGTCAAAGACGGATTCTCTAGTTGTATTACCCAGGCTGGTTGATCTTATGCTGTCCTTTGAGACTCAACTCAAATATGCCACCTACCTAGTTATTCTTCTCATACTCCTTCACTTACCTGCTCCATGTACCAAATGTTGGCAAGTGCTGAATGAGCTTTAGTACATAGGCAAAGTGTTTTAGAAAAGTTAGTTGAGTGAACAAATTCAGGTTCTTGATTTTTCCTTCTAAGAGCTGCCATTCTTTGATTTCTTTCCCCACTGCTTTTTTTTTTAACTTCTTACCATATTTATTTCATCTTTATAAGCTCTAATAGTACTCTAGCTGATAGCCTGTCTCTGGAGTGTGGGGTTTGATACTCTGTTTTCATAGTATCAAGCCAGGGAACCTTAATTATTTGCTGGAAGTAAAAGGAAGATTTCCAAGTATTAAAGAATCTCTCATCGAGCGAGTAATTGGATCTGTGGACTCGGGACCATGGTCACTGGGGGCATCAAGCTCAACTGGCATAACATATTATACAGAAACATTGTTCCTCATCCTAATTTAGTGAATAGTGACTGGGATCTTAAAAGCTTGCAAGTGGCCATCCAGATGCAATGATGGGTCTCTCCTCATCCAGAGCAGAGAAGAATGAAGAAAACCAAAGACGCATGGAAACAATTAGTCCAAGGGACTGGTACATCATGCAGTCCTCAGCCTATATGACTATGAGACCAGAAGAACAAGATGGTGCCTGGCTACCACTGTCAATCACTTGGAGGGGGATCTATGTAGGAGATCCTGGATGGAGTGGGAGAACAATGTGGAGCAAAACTCAAAATCATAAAAAAAAGGACCAGGTTTGCTGGTCTGATAGAGCCTAGTGAAACCCCTGAAACTATGACCCCTAGCTTCCCTTCAGGTCTGGAATTGAACCCACTCCTGTGTCTTCCAGCCACACAAAAGACAAACATATGAGCTGAACATTATATTAGGTAGATGCACTCCTTGGAGAGATCAATCATGGGAAAATAGAAGGGCTGTGTATGCACAGGGGGACAGCTCGGGGGCAGGAGTGCATAGAAGAGAAGGACACAAGGAAGAGGTAACTATGGGGAGAAAGTGATAAGAGAGCTGTTGCACTGTGGGAAATTATAGTCAATGTTATGAGACAAAAAGTATATGTGAAGTGCTGTATGGAAAATGAATTTGCTCTGTAAACTTTTACCCAAATCACAATAAAAATTAAAAAAAATCTCCTGTCAAATCCCTACAAAATATGAAAAAAATAAGTTGTACTTTCCCTAT